AAAAAACACATAAGTCGTATTTCAAAGACACACTATCATTCACTACTTAAAAGCTTTGGAATGACTGACTAAACTTATTACTCGAAAACAGTCTTACTCGTTCAACAATATGATAACCGAGAGGCTCACAATAAACACACAAACCTAAACACAATACAAAGTAAGTTCGACAACTTGCACTAGGGTTGAAGCCTTCTATTTATAATCTTCAATGAACTGGATTTGGGTTTCACATATGTAGTTAGATACGACAGAGGCGTTGCAAAGTTATCTCCTCAAAGATAGGACATCAATCATTAATTTCCTTAATTATCTCCATAATTAGAAACTAATAAATCTCCTTGAAATCAGCTTGATTCTTTTTAAATCTCCAAGCAAAGCACCATATAGAATAAATAATATATTAACGAATATTATGCACTTGTAACAAACTAAAAAACAACATTCCAGCTGCAAAAATTCACGATGTCGAAAGAAACAGCATATGACATCTCATTTGACATGTTGCTCCAATTGATAGAACATCTTCATTCAACATGTCTAAGCTAAGTTAATTTTACCAAACATAATTCCAATCACAACAACATGGGAAATAAAACTCTTAGAGATTCGATGTCAAGGAAATAAGAAATGTCGCCCAAATTCTGACATTTTGAATTCCTTGCTGAGACCACCTTTGAATTTTTTGATATCCTTCTTGCAGCTACCTGTTATTAATAAATCATCAACATAGAGACATAGTATAAGAAATTCACTATTTCTTATTTCTACATAAACTCCATGTTCAATTGTACACTTCACAAATTCTTTCTCCCTTAGGAAACTATCAATCTTCTTATTCCAAACTCTTAGAGCTTGTTTCAATCTATACATGGCTTTATACAACTTGTACATCTTTCTCTCTTGACATGCTTCACAAACCCAATTGGTTGTGCAACATAAACTTCTTCATCTAAGGGTCCATTCAGGAATGCACATTTCACGTCCATCTGACATATGTGCCAACTGTTCATTTCTGCTAGACCAACAATCAACCTAATTTTTTTCGATTCTAGAAACAAGTGCAAAAACCTCATTGAAGTCGATTCCTTCTTTCTGAAGAAATCCTTTTGCCACAAGCCTTGCCTTGTGTCGAGTTACTTCCTCTTTGAGATTCAACTTCACCTTGTATACCCACTTGACATCGATTTCCTTCTTGCCTTGAGGAAATTCAACAAGTGACCAAGTGTTATTGTTATCGATGGACTTCACTTCTTCATTCGTTGCTTTCATCCACTTTGAATCTTTTAATGCTTCAGTTTCATTGACATAATGTACTAGCTCACCTTTATTATCAACCACATCATCTAATGTAATCACACAATCTTGCAAGCTTGCAGGCCTGTGTCTTGTTCTATAAGGTTTGCTTGGTCCTAGTTGATCTATAACATCCTCTTGTTAAACTTCTCTTTCGACTTCAACTATTGGTTCAAATAAGATTCTTACTGAATCTTTCTTGACATTTTCTGTCCAAGCTCATTCCTTAAACTCATCTATGATCACATCCCTGTGATTACAATTTGCTTGTTCAATGGGTCGAACAACTTGTAACCTCCTGTCGAATGATATCCTACTAGGATCATCTGACTCGACTTGTCATCAAGTTTTCTTCTCAACTAATCTGGCACATGTCTATGTGAAGTAGATCCAAATACCTTCAGATGACTCAAGCTAGGCTTCACAACATACCAATGTTCTTCTGGAGTAATTCCTTCTAGATTCTTTGTCGGACATCTGTTCTAAATGTATGTTGTTGTCGACACAACTTCACCCCAAAACTTTTTGGGTAAATGAATGTCTTTCAACATACTTCTCACCATATTCATGATGGTTTGATTCTTTCTTTCTACAGTTCCATTTTGTTATGGAGTGTAGGGTGGCACCACCTCATGCACAATCCCTTCTTTCTCACATGATGTATTGAAGTCTTTCGACACATACTCTCCACCACTATTAGTTCTCAAACCTTTGAGCTTTCTACCACTTTGTCTTTCGACCATAGATTTAAACTTGGAAAATACCTCAATCACTTCACTTTTCTTCTTAATCAGGTAAGTCCATAATTTTCGACTAAAATCATCTATGAATGTAACAAAGTATTTCTTACCTCCATTCGAATCCACCTGGATTGGTCCATATACATTAGAATATATGATTTCAAGAATAGCCTTCGACTTGCTTCTTGCATCTTTGCTAAAGTTGTTCTTGTGCTGCTTCGTGTGCACACATTCCTCACACACCTCGTTTGGAATGTCAATTTCTAGAAATCCTGAAACCATATTTCTTCTTTTCAAATCTATGATGTCTTTGAAGTAGAGATGACCTAGTCAATAGTTCCATATCCATTCGTCTTTTCTAGCTGCAATTGAAAGACACTTGTGCTCTATCACATTTAGTTTGACCTTGAAGGTTCTATTCTGAGACATTGGAGCCTTCAAGATTAAATTTCCTCTTGTATCGATGAATCTCATCATCTTGTCTTTGATCGACACTTTATAGATCTTTTCGACCAACTGCCTTATACTAAGAAAATTGCTCTTCATGCCTGATATGTACAACACATTGAAAATTACTGACCTCTTGCCATCTTTCCTCGTAATCCTAACATCACCAATACCTTCAGCTGTTAGAGTATTGTAATTTTCAAATTTCACCATGTTCTTTATCGAAGGTTTTATATTGACAAACCAATATTTCCTTCCAGACATGTGTGATGAGCATCCTGAATCCATGTACCATTGGTCCTTGAATCTATCTTCATCTCTGGTTGAGACTATCAGCATCATCTCTTCTTCTTCTTCTTCTTCATGTTTTGCAAAACTTTGCATCACTTTCTAGATTCTTTCGCTTTTCTGGACAATCTCTAGAATAGTGACCATACTTCTGAAAATTGAAATATTGAATGTGACTCTTGTCAGGTTTTCGACCACCACCTCTTCCTCTATTAGCAACACCACCTATTTGGTTGCCTTGGTATGATCTTCTCTAATTCGACACATTTTCTTCGTGCTGGTTTCCTCTACCAGTCGAATTGTTGTAGTCACCTTTACCTTTTTTGTCGAACCACTTTCCTTTGCCTTTCTTATCATTTATTGACTGCACCTGCAAAGCCACTTCACTCTTCGACTTGCCTGCAGCTCTTTCATCCATTCTTTGTTCATGAGATTCAAGCGTCCCTTGAAGCTCTTCCTTTGACAGAGTTGGAATTTCCTTCGACTCTTCTATGGAAACTACCACATGGTCGAACTTCGGAGTCAAAGATCTCAAGATCTTTGAAACAACAACTCTTGTTGTTAATGTTTCTTCACAAACCTTTATTTGATTCACTAGTTTTGTAACCCTAGTGAAGAAACCAGATATGCTCTCGCTATCTTTCATCTGAAACAACTCATACGTTCTTTTGTGAGCTTGTAACCTCACCTCTTTCACCTTTTCTACACCTCCAAAAGATTTCTTAAGAATCTCTAAGGCTTCTTTTACAGATTCTACATCACTAACCTTTTTGAAATTGTCTAGACTAAGACTTTAATGAATTATAAAGAGATCTTTATAATTCTTCTTCTTTGATTATTTGCATTTTGCCTATTCTTCTTTTGAAGCGTCTTCTTCAAGCAGTTCTAATCCATATTTCACAAAATCCCAAAGATCTTGACAATAAAACACAACCTTCATCTGCTTACACCAATTCTCATAGTTATCAGCTTTAAGAATCGAAAGTTTTGTTAGAAAATGCAGCTTTGAATGATTCGTTGTCATCATGATTTTCTTCTTCTTCCCTTGATCGCTCAACCGGAGCTCTGATACCATATGTTGGAAATCCATCAAAACCTATGATGAATTTCTATCAATCTTTATGAACAAGATTGTTATCGCAACACAATGACAATGAAAAAAATGAAAATTAAAGAAGAAAAGAGATTTAGGGTTTCTGCAGAGTAACTCTCTGCCCACAAATTGTGGAAAACTTCTTTATTCACTTGCAACTGCAAATTTTGTGAATATTCAATGTGTTGAATTGATTACAAAAATAGAGATTACTCCCTCTATTTATAATTGAGTTTACTTTCTCCCTAAGTCAAAAAGCTCAAAACTATAAAAGATCAAAATACTTATTTTAGACCTAAATCGAAATCCTATAAGAAGCAACCTGCTTCGGCACTTTGATACTACAACTCGACACATTTTGTGTTGAAGAACACATGATTCAACGTAAGGAATTACATTTTCAATATTTTATTCCACTAAATCCTTATCAACATAAGAAAATACACCATGTAAATCTCGGAATGAGATTTTCTATCTTTAGGAAGAAAAAGAAACTCTATCTCTCTCCAATATTCTTCTCTCATTTTAATTACTATGTTTATTTTATTTATTTTTCGTTTAAAACACTCAAGAATACACTAAAGACACCGTACTTTTCCCTCTCTAAAGTTAGCACTTTTCCCTCTCTAAAGTTAGCAAATCTAACACGTAAATCTCATTCTACTTTCTTATGATATTATGTTAAAATGTTGGGAAAATACATTGATGTCCTCCTAAAGTATCTTTAAAAGGAAAATATCTCAATCCACTTCCTTGTACCCAATAAAACAGATTTGCATTCAACATTTTTTCTTGTCATACTTGAAAGAACCACGTAGTGGTTGATGCAATTTCCCATTAGTATATTGGTAAACTATTGACAGTTATTATTTTTGTCGCCCACCTAGTCAATAATCATGGCTGACATGTACACGTGAAGCTTATGGGGTAACATGTGTGGATAACACTGCTTGCAACTGTTACCCCACCACCATTTCCCTTGGACATGCCTTAAGCTTTTATATATCACATGTAAAACGTTTTCTTTCTATAATTTTATTTTAAGTCCTATAAATAGAGATACACTCTTTCAATATCAATACACAAAAACACATTCATCTAATCTTTCCTTCTAATTCTGTAGAGAATAGAGAAACATGAAGCATTCAATCTTATTAGCATTTTGCATCATTTACTTAGCTTTCATTTGCAAAACTATTGCAGCCCCTGAACCAGTGCTTGACATCTCCGGTAAGAAAGTTACAACAGGTGTCAAATATTACATTTTACCAGTCATAAGAGGCAGTGGTGGTGGTTTAGCAGTTGCAAATGTAAGCAACCTCAACAGCAACAATAACACATGTCCCCTCTATGTTGTTCAAGAGAAGCTTGAGGTAAAGAATGGTGGACCGGTTACTTTCACACCTTATAATGCTAAACAAGGTGTGATTCTAACATCAACTGATCTCAACATTAAATCCTATGTAAAAACTACATGTCCTCAAACACAAGTTTGGAAGCTTCTTAAAGTCTTGTCAGGGGTGTGGTTTTTGAGTGCTTGGGGTGAAGAAGGTAATCCAGGTATTCAAACAATTTTCAACTGGTTCAAGATTGAGAAAGCTGGTAAAGATTATGTGTTTTCTTTTTGTCCTTCAGTTTGTAAGTGCCAGACTTTGTGTAGGGAATTAGGGTTATATGTTGATGTTAATGGGATTAAGCACTTAGCTCTTAGTGATCAAGTTCCATCATTTAGGGTTGTATTTAAAAGGGCTTAAGTGAAACAAACACCACTCGAACATCATAAATGTTATGCACTTATGCATACCATATGGGTTATGTTGAAGGAATAATCTCACTTATCAGAGATCATCCACTTTTCAATCACTTGTTCTATGCTCTACTTTATTTATGTTGTTTTGTATTTCACTTCAATAAGAAGAGTTTGTTTTATGCTCTACTTTATATTCCACACAAAATATTGTTAAAATTGATCAAATTTTCGTATAAGCACTTAATTAAGTTGCTTTTACCAAAACATAGCTATAAGAAGTTGTGAATTATACTACAGGTGATGTCTCTTAGTAATCAGTTCGTAATCACCAAGAAATAAGAGATGAGGTATATCCAAGTTGCAACAACTGTAAGATAAAAGATAAAAGATTGCTTACCACTCCATTCACTCTGCAAAACTTCTCCTACAATCAATCCTTGGCTAAAAAAATCTTAAACTTAGAGACTTAACAAAGTTCTGTTTTCCCTTTTAGAATGTATTGGTCATGGAAATTGCTTTTTTGAGATTCTTAATAGCTTTCTCATACCTTAAAAATCCCACGAACCAAAATTCAAAGTCATCTTTAGTCACTACTTCTATATACTTCTGTTCTAATTTGTTGACGTTCATGCTTTCATTCACCTCTTTTATCGTTTCTATTGGTATCAAAACCTGCATAACAAAAATTTAGATATAAGAAGAAAAAAAAATTATAGATATAAGTTGAAAACAGATTATAGACATATCATAAACTGTTGACATAAGATCTTCAAATCAATGTCACAAGTAATCATGTCAATAAAAAATGCAAACAAGTTAATACAAAAAGAGACTAAATCATTTGAATGCAAAGTTGGTTTCAAGTTCAAGAAATACTTTGTAAGGTGCTTTAACTATTTCCCCATCAGCAGAAGAGAAGCTTGTGTGTCTTTCACTGCAAAACGCAACTTTTGCAGTCGAAATAAAGAGAACTCCAGCAATAGGACCAGCTGTGGTATATAAATAACACTGAGAAGCTTTCAGCAGTTTCTCTTCTTCTTGCATCCCAAAAACATGCTTGAAAATGTTCCTTCTCCCACCTTCTTGAATAATCTTGGCACCCAAACTCAACTTACCTTTCACAGTCTCAGAAAACTTAGAACCCAATTTCACTGCAACAATAACACAAACACATTGTAAGCAAGTTTAGAAAATCATCGTCCACAACAACAACTGCAACTACATATAAGAATTTTGAATTACCATGTTCGTGAATCCTGTTTACAAAACTGGTTCTTTCACTTCTTGTGTCCTTCTTTGAATCTGCTTTGTCTGCAATAACCATGCAAGAAATCATATCAAGTTGCAATGAAAGAAAATTCAAGGAAAAATGTGATACTTACTTTGAGTTTGGAGGAAATTATCATCTTGATCAACAAGAAAAAAGCACCTACTTGGAGATTTTGCAAAAGACTTCATCAAGAATAGAAGAAATTTTGAGATTATTACAAAAACATGAACAATTTCTTTTACCAGATTAACAAAATATTGTACAGACTAATTGTTATTGTTATATATTCCTTTCCAAGGAAAGCATTGAAGAAAAGGATACCATTGCTTATTTGAAAACCTTGCATGTTATATTATAAATTATATTCACAACTATTTATAAATAATGAATATTCAATATTTTATCCCATAAGAACTCAATTGTGAACACGCAATAATATTAAATTCTTCGTAGAGATAGAATTTTGTCGTCTACTGTGTTCTTCTCAATCTCGAAATATTAGTTTCTATAGTTATGCGAAAAGAATATCTGATTTTATTATATAAAAAAATAAATTTTAACCTCTCTTAGTGTTTTAAATTCAAATCCAAGTTTGAAAGTTGAATTGAGGTTTTTTTGAAGTCAATAAAAGCTCAAAATTTTGGTATTAATTTAAATTGTCAAAATTTTATAGTTAGTTAACCTAAGCATTGCAATATTCTTGACTCTTGACTTTTGTGCAATGAATATATGGAAGTAAAGAATATTCATGTCATGCAGATTTCTGTAAAATAAATCAAGTATAATAGTGTTTGTTTATAAATGTGTTTGTGTATACGTATTTAGATTTTTTATAGGATTCCCATTTGAAATTGGTAATTATCAACTTTAGTATAGTTAGACTAGTTCAGTTATTTACTCTTTGGTAATTAGTTATTTACTTTAGTAATTAGCTTAGTTTACTAGCGGTATATATAAGGTTCCAAGGTCATTGTAATAGTAACATTTATTACTTTTTCTATTCAATCAATGTAAAAATGAGTTTCCTTTATTGCATTGATCCTCTTGTCAACATGGTATCAGAGCTCATCTGAGTTCTGATAGTCACTGTTGTAACTGTTTTTTTCGATTGAATCTTACTTTTATCTTCTCGATTCATCCCTTTCCCCTTTTCTCTTTGAAGGATCATCAATGGCGTTCTAGAACCATATTGATTTTTCCACCAACTCTGCAAACTCTTACTACTTGCATCCGAACGAAAATCCGGCATTGATTCTTGTTTTGCCGTCGTTAACCGCCAAGAACTACCATACTTGGTTGTGTTCGATGCATATCGCGCTGATTTCAAAAAACAAAGATAAGTTCATTGATGGTTCTCTTCCAAAACCTCACGTCTCTGATCCGATGTACGCATCATGGATTCGTTGTAACACAATGGTATTAGCATGGCTTCATCGTTCTCTTTCTGAATCCATCGCTCGTTATGTACTTTAGATTGACACTGTTGTCGGTGTTTGGAAGAACTTGCGCATTCATTTCTCTCAGAGTGACATTTTCCGCATTTCTGATCTGCAAGAGGATTTGTATCACTTTCGTCAAGGAACTCTTGATGTTTCCGATTACTTCACTCAATTGAAGGTCTATTGGGATGAATCGGAGAATTATCGTCCCCTTCCTCATTGTAAGTGTTCAATTCCTTGTTCTTGTGGCGCAATTGAATCTGTTAGAGCTTATCGTGAACAAGATTTTGTTATCTGATTCCTAAAAGGCTTGAATGAACGTTTCTTGCATTCCAAATCCCAAATCATGAGGATCAACCCTCTTCCTGATATTGAATATGCTTTTTCATTAGTTTTGCAACAAGAGCGAGAAATGATTAGCTCAAACCAAAATTCTGCTATTCAAGTTACATCTGAATCTTCCATAGTTATGCAAGTTAGCTCTAATCACAGCAATTCCAACAACAAAGGGGGTTACAATAAAGGAAAGAGACAAGGTTCTTCCAAAGGGGGTAATCCCACATGCACTCATTATGGTAAAAAAGATCACATTGTTGATAACTGCTTTGAGAAGATTGGTTATCCTCCTGGATATAAGACACACAAGCCAAAGAATTCTTCATCTCAAGCAAACAATACCTCAAATTATGATGTATTAGAATCTGCTTCACAAGGCTCTTCTGCATAATCCACATTTCAATTTACTCAAGAAATGTATCAAGGCATCCTTGAAGCTCTTCAACAGTCAAAACTTGGTTCTCAACCAACAGTTAATGATGTAACCACTGCCTCTTTTGCTATGCATTCTCATGCTTCTTCCCAACTTGGTAAGTATTCCACTCTTTGGATCTTAGATACAGGTGCTACTGATCATATCACCTTTGATCTTTCATCTTTTACTACATATCAAAGTATTATCCCTATTTCTGTGTCTTTACCTAATGGCTCACAAGTCTTGGCCTCCATTTCGGGTAGTGTGAACCTAATCTCAGTCACAAAATTAGCCAGCACCTACAAATATCATTTGAGTTTCACTAATAACTCTTGTCAAATTTTGCAGAACCATTCATTGGAAACGATTGATACAACTAAGTGATAAGTTCAAATTATAGCTATTTTTGTATATACTTTTTGTTGCACTTGTCAACTTTTTGTTGTTAATATCGTTGAATAAACCTGACTTTTGTGTAAATACGTTTAGTTTGTGTTTATTTGTGTTTTTATGTACATAGTGTACCGTTTGATGTTTTTCCATTCATTTTGTAGGTATTTGTTGCATTTTGGAGCATTGAGGAATAAGGTGTCGAAGGCACGACTCCGGATGTATGTTTTTGGAATAAAAGACCATTTTTGGGAAGTTCTGTCCAGGAGAGCCTACTTAGCGCGCAAAGGCCTCTAAGTGCGAGTGCACTCAGCACATTTTGTAGCGCGTTACTTACATCTTTTACTGTTTTGGCAGAAGCATTGTTTTGAAGCCCGCTTAGCGCGGATAGTGCGATATTTGTTTTATAACTTCATTTCATTTATTTTTTTAGGTGATGGTTTTGAAGAAGTTTTTTCTCCCAACTCCATCAACCTTCATTTTTGTTATATTAGCTTAGAAAACAACACTAGGGCTTTGCTTATGGATGATTGGAGGTGGATTTCTCATCGACTGGCACTGACAAATTGGAAGATTTGTGGTTTATCTCTTCTCCTCTCTTTGTATTTCTCTTTTATTGGGTATTGTATGTATATTTTCTTTCAACTCATGTATATTTGTCTCCCTTGGTGTTATATAAAACATGCTTTACAAATATTTATCGATTGTTATCCTTGATTTTTGCTCTGTGCTAGGGATTTGAGTTGCTATGGACATATACTACTTAGATTCTTATCTAGGGTGATCATCTAACAGTGTCTGAATTCTGGAGATAGATTTAGCGTTGTTATTCACTTAGAGTGTCTGTGATTAATGTATCTATGTTGTTTGGGTCTCTCTGAGAGATCGTCGATGCAAGCAAGCATAGCTGACTTTTGTGTTGTTGAGGTGGTTGAGAGATCGCTACCGAGGGGATGCAGTCGGCCTCTCAATTTGGGTTAAAAATGACTTAGGTTATGAGTGACACTTGATGACATTGATGAATATTGTAGGTTTATTATAATAGGTCGATAGGTTTATGTTTGTGATAAGTAGTATATATGCATGCTTGATAAGTTATTCCTTTTTCCTTTTTATACATTTATTTTCTATTGATACTTTTCCTTTCAACCCAT